CTGACCGGCACTGAGTTAGTTCTTAGCGCCACAGGGGTCACCGGTGAAGCTAAGATTATTAGAAACACATAATTCAAGTAAATTTTTAATTTTTTAAAAATTATTATCGTTACTAAAATGGTTTGAAGAAATTAATGCAATATAGAATACACAAAAATAGTTTTATTTATATACACAGAGATGTCAATTTGCTCCGGACAGTGAATAAATATTTTCAAGTGCTAGTTTATTAATTGTGATTCCTGGTTTAATAAATTCAATTCAGTAGATTTTTATCCACCACTAATTTCAGATATGTCATGCTAAACCCTTAAAAAAACTAGCAAAATCTGCCTAATATTTGCAAATTTAGTTTGTAGTTATTTACCGTTTGGCCAGACGGGCAAGACATGAAAAAATAGAGTGGCATTCAACGTGTTAACTAGCAACCCTGTATCCAACGTATCAAGAGAATTACGAAATATGGGCAACAACTTATGATTGGCTGAGAACCAAATTTTACCGAAATGAAAAGACACAAATATTTTTAAGGAAACTTAACATGGATTCACAAACGAGATATCCTTAACTGGTAGAATCGTAAAATTATAGATACGTATTCCTTTTTTTTCTTTTAATTCTTAATTATTCAAAATATGTAAAAATAGTGACCTTATATAATGTGAAATCCAACGTTTGTTGAACTCCAACGCAGATTCTATATGATGTTAGAAATGGATTAAAGTCAATAGAAAATTGCAACAAAAAATTCACGTTTTTGGGAGTAAAATTATCATTAAAAAAATATTATCGAATAATCCGTGCATGCTTAAATGCTCTATTAAACAATGTTGTAAAACCAGGGAAATAGTCGTTTGATGGAAAAATAAGAGGCAAGAAAGTTTTATAATAAACATGTTTAAATATTTAGATATTGCGTTCTGTTACTCCATCACTCATCTTAACTCTTTAAAATGATTTTGAATATCTGAAGAATGTTTCATGAGGACACTCACGACATTACAAAAATCTGACTTTAGCGAAAAATTAACGATCACTTTCCAACTAGTATTATTAGGTCACGGGACGGACAAAATAATGGAACAAAATACGAGAAGCGAACAAAGAATAAATATGATTAAGAGAGAGGAAATCGATTCTATAAAAGAAATTAAATTGCAACTTGGCTGCGCCACTACTCCACAAATACTTCACAATTAAAATGGAAGATCTCTTTTTTGTACCTTTTTTTTACCCCTTTTATGTTTTACCCCCATCTATTTTTCCCAACGATGCACTTTTATCACCGCCCTTAAGGTCTTTTGTGTTACAGAAAAATGGCGAGAAAAAATCATCATAAGTCGACAAAGCTCATTGAACAAAAACTAAACGATTTTCAGAAAGAATGAAAAAATGCATTAAGCGTAAGGAAAGAAAACTTCCAGAAGTTTGCCAGAAATGAATTAAATGCATGAAAAAATCGAATTCAAAAAGCGTAATAATCACTTGAACGATCACACGAAATTTTATATGCGGCGATTAAACGGAGAATGTCTTTATTGTTTTTCATAAAAGAAAGTGGAGGGAAAAAAATCCCAGTATTGACCAATAAGAATTTACAAAAAAATGACAACATTACATTGCCTTACAGCATTTAAATTTCTCTCCTAGTTTCTGCAAGACTAGTTTTCTTCTAGAATGAAAACTAATACTTTTTGTGACTTCGTTCTTTCTAAAAAAAAATTGTTCATTTTAATTTCACTTTCCAAAAATATGTTAAAATAAAGTAGAATTAATGTTTTTTTTCTAGGAATCGTTTGGAAACCAATGAGAAAATGTGATTTATTTAACAGGAAGAAACATGTAAAGTCGTTCAAAGTTTTGATATCGAGATATAAAAAAGCAGAAAACAGTTTCATTTTAACAATTATAGATAGTTTCTTTTCTCTTCATATTTTCAAGTTTTAGCTCTTCAAAATACCAAACACGTATTTTAATTACATTAATTATAAAAGACGTTTTATATCTATTAAAAAAAACAGAAATGCTCCCTTTCATAAAAGCAATCAAGGCTTTTTCTTATTACATAAATTAGATAATATTGCATGATAGTACGCAGGGAATGGTGGAACAAATCTGAGTAGATGGCTAACACGACACGGCACTTTTGACTAAATTACTGTTGGCATTTGTTAGAAATCAGAAAAAAATTAATTGGAAACAGACATCAGTTCATTCAAGATAAAAAATATTTTGAAAGTGAAAAAATCGATTAAAAAATGTTTGAACTATTTTTACTCAATAGTTTCTAAAAAATTATTTAAAAAAATTATTATTAACTTTATTATTATTATAAACCAACATAGGATCGAGTTAACATGTCTTATATACTAGCAGATATTGCGTATAGCTGAAGAATTTATCGTTCTTATTGGGAATGAAGTTTTCTGAAACATGTCACAAGAATAGAATTATCCTGTAGTGGCTAAAGGAATAGCAGAAAAAACTTCACTTCTTGTGCTGACTGCATACTCTATACAATGGGTTTCAATGCAAAAAGGAATAACAGTTTGGGGTTCAACATCATGTCAGGGTTATAGAAAACTCTACTCAAACATTTGGTACAATCTATCAACAGCCACTTACACAACTAAAATTATACTGCAGTTGTTTAGAGCAGTAATTCCCAATTTTTATTAACTACAGAACCTTTTAATTATAGACCTCTTTTTGGTGGAACCTCGCCTTGAAATTATCGACTAGATTGGCCTAAAAATCCAATTTCACAAGACATCATCATGCAATATAATTTAACATTCAGCATGGATCTAGAAATTAGTTACTTAACAGTCTAGAAACACCTTTCTTCAGAGCTTCCTTGAGTACACAACAATCTACTTCTGTCATACATAATTAATTAAATCTTTTTACAATCATGTGTGGTTTATCATTTTGATCAATCATGCTACTTATCAGGAATGATGCTCCTGTTGTGTTTTCATTAAAGGTTTTTGCATATCACAAACAAGTCATAAGTCTCAGAACCCTTGTGTCCCTTCCACAGAACTCTAAGGTCCTGCAAGCTTAGAGAATAAGAGTGTGAATATCAGTTCATCTTAGCTAAATTTCAACCCATCATCGCGCAGATTCAAAATAAAATAGAATGATGGTTAAGAGTTCAAACATCATCCTATCAGAATATTGTCATAGCTCTACGCAAACACTATGTACAATTTCACCAGCCACCTAAAAAGGACTTGTGATAGTTATACCAAGGTGGGTTAATGCAAAAGGTATATCTACAAGGTATGAGTAAAGCAATCTCATTATATTTTACCTTTAAGATGTTATTTGCATAAGCAAATAATGAAAATATCAATGAATTTTAAATGTTGAAAATTACTTACTTAAAAATTGTACAACTTAGGAAATAAAAAGGTGCCATCAATATTCCTATGCTACTTACCTTTACTCTAAAATGAAAATTAGAATTTAAAAAGGACAGATAGAAGAGATGAGTTAGTGAAGTGATCAGCTGAGCTCATCAGTGCTGGGGAGCGGTGTTAGGAGGGTTTCGCTGAAGGAGTTTAGATAAGTAAGGCCAAATTTAAGATATATTTCGCTACACTTACTATTTATTTCTTATAACTGTGAATAAAAGGAGCTAACTATTTTTAACATCATTTATGGAAATAAGAAAAAATTTTAAACAAGATTAATGTAAAAACTTAAAATAATGTACATAAGAAAATATCTGTAGGAGTAGTGATGGTTTAATATCCAACTATAGTGACATAAATAGCAACTATGCTAAGGAACAGAGCATGAGCAAGTCATGCTAAGTTAATAATAGTATATAAATAAATAAAAATTGTTCATTTTTATCCATTTGTGACAGTTAAGTGAGTCCATGAGATTTTCTAGAATATTTACGCATATGAAAGATTTAAAAAGTTGTTTCATTTAAGATCTGAAAGCTTAATGTAATGCAAGAAATTTGAAACTGAACATTTTAAATGATTTATATGGCAAAATTGATCTAAATTAATAATTAAATATTAGAAAATATATTTGATTGAATTCAAAATTATTTGAGTATTAAAAAATAAAAAATACAGCCATTATTATCTAAAATCCTTCCCCAGCAGACCCCCTTAATAGTTTAGCATGCACATAAAATATTTTATTTATAAAATGTTAAAAATATTTTTTTAAGCTATGTACCTGATGCTAAGTTATGAAAAGCTTTTTAAATAATATGAACTAAACAATCTAACATAATAATCCAACTTAATTACTGAAAAAGGCAAACCCTAATTTAGAAACCGGTAATTTTATGCTAAATTCTAAATTTTATTCAACTTGGAAAATTTTCTGATAGTTCAAATCAAAAATGTGGCCATTATTATTTAACCTCCTTCCCCAGCAGACCCCCTTAAGAATTCGGCATGCAAATTTGTCTATTTTCTCAACTGCTTATTTTAGTATCCAACTACAACAATCATAATATTTAATAATAAAAAAATCAACACAGAAATTCATAATTTTTAATTTAAAAAAATATTCCTTTTTAAATCTAAAAAAAAAGTTAAAAATATTTTAGAATATGCTAATGTAGAGCTTGTCAAAAAATCAATTAAATATAATGCCCCTGAATTTTTCTCGAAGTGAATGATAACAACATAAAAAACAAAACTATTTTTACAAAACATGTAAAATATTAACTTTACTTTTAATTTAAAAAAACTTTTTTTCAAGGAAATGAATTATTATGACTGGTTAATTTGTAACTGGTTATTTTAAATCAATTTTTTTAATCAACATCAAATAAAATAAAATCTACTTTATAAGTATAACCATATATTTGACTTTTTTTCCTTTTTTGCTTAAGAAAAGAATTATAAATAAGCTAAGTCTTTTAAGATAGCCACATTCAAAATCCACTTTTTTGCACAATCATTTCTGGATATGACCTACTTAGTATAATTTTAAAGAGTCAAATAATTCGAGTTAAAGCTTACCTCATTTAGTTGAGCAACGATCTTGTTGAAAGCGTTGATCCATCGACGTTTTGCCCTGGACATATTTGGATCCCCATCATCAATTATGATTTCTGAAACTTCTGATTTTGGCAATACCATTTCAATAGTCAGATCAGGAACAATAGCTAATGAAGGAGGAACACCTTTCATAGATATAATACTGGGTCTTCGATTTAGAACCATATCCTCATCTTTACCATTAACAGTCAAAGTCGATTCATAATCGATTGAGTCTGTGGTTTGAATCTTATAACTGACATCATTTTCAACCTCTTTACCATTAATATCATTAATAGATGGCTCCTTAATCTGTATATCTGGAAACTCTGGCTTTGTATGTTCATTCTCAAATTCCTTCTCTTCCTCTTCATCCGGCACCCATTCGTTTCTTTCGTTGTCATCTTGCCATTCACTGATTAAAGAGTCCATTTGGTGGTTTGACATTGGTTCATCAGCCCAGTCTTGAACAATAGTCTCCTCACTCCAACCGTTATTAATGGCATCATCGGCTTGGTTCTTCCATCTCTCAGCATTTCTAATGGGTTCTTTGTTAGTTCTTTCATCCCACATATCATCCTCTTTGATTGGTTCTATTGTTTCGTTCCAGAGATCAGTTTTTATTTCTGTTGGGTGGTTGGTCCATTGTTCACCATTTTTAGTTATGGATACAGAGCTGTTCCTCCTCTCCGCTGCTTTTCCTGCATCTAATTTTTTACTATTTCTTCTGTCCATTTTTGTAGGTGTTTCTACTTTTGGACTATTCCACTTATTGCTATCTTTTTCAGTTTCTACAACAGTGCGATTAGTCCACCTATCGACTTCCTTGACGGGTTCCGATGGATGATTATTCCACTGATCTTCTTTACTAGATTTAGATTGCCTGTCCCATTGATCAACCTCTTTGACAGTTTCAACACTATTTGTATTCCACCTATCATTATCTCGTTTATTAGGTTCAACTGCTTGACTGTTCCACCTATCGACCTCTTTGTTTGTGTCCAATGAATTATCACTCCAATGGTCAGCAGCATTCTTTGATGTTTCTGGAAGCACTCTTTCAACTTTAGTTGGAGTTTCTTCAATCCAACTAGGTCTACTAAGTTTGGGTGGTTCTTTTACAACTGGAGTGTCTTGATTCCAGTCTTTAGAACTGTCTTTACTCCACTGAGAATCAAGGCTGCCTTTCTTCCACTCACTACTGGTACTATCCTTGTGCCAGTCTTCCACTTCAGGAAGACGCTTCCCAGTCCTAGCACCAACTGTTCCATTGACTTTACTCCAATCAGTTCTTGATTCGTCGGTGGGGAATTTGCTAACAGCCTTTGGCGTTGCTGGATCAGCGCCTTCGCCATTCCACTGTGACATGTAATACACATCTGATTCTGCGTAGCTATGCTGTGGGGTGGTATATCGACTACTTTTATCCCATTCAGTTGAAACTGAATCTTCTCTGAAACTAGGATAACTATCAAAACTACTTTGGGGATATGCTTCTGGACTTTCTCTATATTTGTAGTCCTCAGGATTATATTGCTCAATGAAACGGTCGTGCACAGATTCATCAAATCCTGTTTGTCTTTCAAGACTACGCCGCCTATTAGAACTCTGAAAACGTTCTAACATTTTTTTATCAGTTTCAGTATCTATTGTGTCCTCTTCCCAATGGCAATGTCTAGAACTTCTATCAGTTTCAAATGAATAACGCATGTCACTTTCGTAATCTAAACTAAGGCTGTTGTCATAACCGGAAGTGGATCTAGTTGAGCGTGATCTGCAAAACAATTTACAGTTAATTTGAGCATATCATACAAACATATATTGTGTAAGGGTGATGTAAGCATTAAGAAATAATTAAAAAGCTTCTCACTCTTAAATAAATTAGTTCCATTTATTATGAAATTCGTTATACCTGGTCCAAT